GTGGCTATAAATCCTCTGGAGTTTTGCTCTTATAAAACTCCTCAGAGAAAGTCTTGAAGAAAATGCAGGTCAAAGCCCAAAAAAGCTCTTGATCAGAGATTGCTGGAGGAAAATCTTCCCAGACGCCTTTAATAGGCAGCAATCACCCCAGGAGTGGGGAAGCCAAGTACGCTTGAAACATGGTTGCAATTCCTAATAGGTCTTGTCACACTTAAGGCACTGCAAGCTCCATCCAACGAACAGCTGAAGCTAGCTGGCGATTCATAAAGCCAACAGTTTAAAGTTTATTATGATGAAAGCACTTAATGACAGCCATCGCTAGGGGCCCATCATTTATAAAGCTGTGCTGAGTATTAGACATGTAGCATGACCACCAATTTTATGTCACAATTGCTACCATAAAATGACCTTTGGTGATTTTTGCTGCATGTGGTGGACAGCTCTTCCTTCACATTAGTGCTCTGTGGCTTTCTTTGCAGACTATTATGCTGTCTAAAGCTTATTTGGCACTGTCGTGAGCCTCAACCCTTGTTATTACCCCGAAGGCCTGTCTAAAAAAAAAAAAAACCAAAAAAAACACACAAAAAACTCATGCTATATTACACCACTCCAATAATTTACAGTTCTTACCAGCCTTGGTTAGTGTAATATTTTAATGCAAATATGCTATACCATTGCATTTTACTAAAAAAAAAAGTTCCCAAGCATGTGGCTAGGACAATATCCATATGATGGCAATTCACTGAAATCAGCCTCTGATTCCCTGGTCAAGTCTCACTGTATGGGCACTCTTTTCCCTGGGGGGTTAGAACACCTCCAAAGGGGGGGGAGATTAATTAAACTTCCCTTGAGAAAGAGATTAAAAAAAAAATCCTATGTGTGATAAACCCACCTAAGGCAGAAACACCAATTCTTACTTCCTTACATCCCATCCCAATGCAAATTTCCATCTGAGTAACATTATTTAATTAGGATTCCATTTTCCAACCTGCTTTGTGTAGTTAGAAAGTGTTTGAATACCCGGCCACTTTACTGCTCTGATGTAAAACGCTGCTGAAAAAAAGTGGTCTGTCCATGCTTACACTACCTTTAAATTGTGTATATAATTTTATAAATGATATAAAATCTGCTTCTAGTCCCTGAAACACACACACACACACACACACACACACACACACACACACATGGCACACTGCAATTTTGGAAAGATTTAAAATATGTGATTTCTGCTGGTACCTACTGTATTGGGTTTTATATAAAGCTTTTTCAATAAGGTAAATTGTTACATGACAAACTCATCTTCCACCATTATCATCTGCTGTTTGTGTTTAACAACAGGAGTGCCGCTCTAACAAAACTGTTGTAATGGCTGTACAAATTACTCAGCTGAAAGCTTTTCACCAAACAAAACAGTATTAATCAGCAGTTCTTATGAAGGTGCTAATTAAAAACAATTTTCTTCCTCAGTTTGCAATACTAAAGCCATCTTCACTTGCACATTTTCCAATATACAGCTACTGTACTTGCTCACACTTCAGGCCCTCTATTAACTATTGAATCTCCTATTAGCCATTTTATTACATTTCTGTTTACAGGCTTGTTGACATTTTAAAAGTCACAGTATGATCTGTTTTATCTATTAAAAAAAGTATTAATTGAAAAGTCAGGGACAAAAAAGGCAAAATATAGCCTCCAAATGCAGGCTTCCAGGGCGGAGAGCACAGTGAGCTTTTAGCTAGAGCCTAGGCAGTAAGCTTCCTGGGTAAAACAAAGTCTGAGAATGAAAAGTGGCATTTCAAGCTTAATGGTTTGTCAAACACCAAAAAGCTCCTTCCTGATTTGGAAAGAGTCCACTCGGGAAAACATATTTGCCCTGTCTAAATTCAGTTTCTAAGGAGACCCTGACTTTGAAATCAATCTTTCTAAACTATGAGATACACTCTGCATAATTATGACATTTCATGCAGTCTGAACTCAGGAGATTTTGATCTGGGGTGAGGAGTATACCTGCAATCTGGAAACTGGAGTCCCAATCTCGGGTCTAAACAGCTTCATCTCTTGTGTGTGTGTGCGTGTGTGTGTGTCCATACACTATGATTCCCTCCCCTGTGTGGGTGTCCTGCCCTATATCCCCTACCAGAATCCAGTGAAAGGGTCCTGTCGGACAATGCCACCCAATTGTTTGGCATGGATTGGAAACAGGTCGAATGCTGACTAAGCATAAAGACAAACTCCATGGAAGTTGGGTTGAGGGAAGGGATCGGTCTGTTCCTATTAAACAAATAAACAAAAGCCTAACCCTTAGGAGAAGGTATGCTCTACTTTGGTAGTGGGAAGAAGGAAAAAACAACAACAACAAACCCACCACCACCACAACCTCCTGCCTATGGTGTTAAAACCAGCTTCTCCAACAGTCAAAAGCAGTTAACTAGTTCAGGACAGACACCTGGCTGTTGAAATAGGGCTCCAGAGGGCCACTAATCCTTCCATTCACTCAGTTAACTGCTGGATCCCCCAAATTGATTCAACAGGTATGCCTTGGTAAATTCAGCCCATACTGAAGCCAAAGGGAAAATCAGCAAGGGGTGGGCAGCTCTTCTCTGAAAACACCCGAGGAACCAGCCAGAAAAGCTTTTATGGCCCCGACAAGTTTTCTGCTGAATACTGAGCACCTAAATTACCCTTCCCTAATGGAAGTTACATTTTCATGCTCAAAAAGCCGACAAAATACACAATTTATACAAAATAGCATCAACCTCTTAGGTAGTCTTTTCTAGCACTTTTATCCCAATTCACAGCATATATCTTGCTATAAAATAAAATATATTTCTTATAACCAAGTTGTATGTGGCTGTTCATATCACCGCATTAGAACTGAGCATGGGTGATACGGGAAACATTCTTACATCCAGCCCAATCTACTTAGTAGGATAAAGGGAAATCATGAGTTTTATCAGGGGATTCAGGTACATGGAGAAGAGGAATATCATAATAATTCTAATGATTTCCTACGCAGACAGGCTTCCTTTTGAAACAAACACAGGCATAATTACCTAATAGATAATTATGGAAGGGGGTATTTCAATTGCAATTATATGACCCAATAATGATGCATAGAAATAATGCTTAATCATAAAGTTCAAAAGAAATGAAGATGGTAACTTTTCTAAAGCAGATGTATTTTTTCCTTCTCAATATTGGCATTTCATTAAAAATTTGAGAAAATAAAAACACTTTTAAATTCTTCAATAATACACAACATGAGTTTCTCACAAACTTCCAAAGAGCCTGGACTAGAGATATTTCCAGGTGAGGATCCCATAAAGAGCAGATCTACGAAACCTTTAGTATTTTACAGGAGACTCTCTAGGTTTTAATCACACAATAAGCATACTTCTTTACTAGGTATCTTTTGGTAAGAACAGCTCAATTCTTACACCATGCACCATGTCTCAAGCTTAGGAAACTACACATACCGTTCTCAGTTATTTTTTTTAAAGAATGTATTACTACTAGCTCACTTTTTAAAAATAAAATTTCTCCCAAAGAAATAAATGCTGGATTTCTACACCCAGGACACACAAACGCAAATTAAACTCTTGCCAATTCATGTATTTTCGTGAGAAAACAAAGAAAATATTCTCTACATTTCCAAAGAAAAGAAACAGAACAGACCATCTTAGGTGGTACTATAGGGATGGGTTTTCTTTGTCTGGCAGATTTAGTTGCAGGTTTTCCAGAAGAAATCACTTCTGCTGTATTTTCACCAGTATAAATGGAACTACCTGTGTTGCCTTTTAAAACATTCCAAATTCTAATTTTTAAACAAGAAAACATGAAGCCAGTGTGCAACCTATACAGTCGCCAAAGGAGAGCTGCCACTAGCTGAACTACTCAGCTAAATGGCTGGTTTGCATTGCCCTGGTCTTTATCTAGCACTGAGAATAGACTGCTGTTTTATCCAAAGAGGAATAAATTGCTGTTATTGTGATGTTAGCCCATCACTTGGCATTGCAATTCAAGTTTTTGTGAGAAAGAAATGTATGATCTAACTGCGACTTGACCTATGCCTTCTGAGATCCATCTAGGTGCTCTAATGGAGCAGAAAGAGTGGTGAATACAAGGACATGCAAACTGATGGTGAAAAATTTGTTTGATGATAGAAGTGAGCAGAGAAGACGTTTGAGAGTGGCTGTTTTTATGACCGTTAAGTTTGTTTAACATGCAAAAGGATTTGCCCCCGGTCTCCCACCTATCCCTTTAATTGCAGCCCACTAAATACACGCTCTGCCTCGACTAAAGATAGGAGAATATAGAGCTAACCTACTAATGATATTACTGCTAAAGTGGGCCCAGATGATTCCTTACAGATAAACATCTGAATTTCCACAAAAGGCATTAGAGTGTCTCGTGGATGCACCAGGCAAGGATATGCTTGGGTTCCCTGCAGAAAAGTCATTCTCTCTTAATCCTAGGTAGCACCTAGTAAATGTTTACTACACACTCGAATCACAGCATACACCAATATGTGCTTCCTTTAAATCAGGTAATTGTGTGGTCGAGGTTTGAAAAACTCCCCCTGGTTGCAATCTAGTTTATTAGCCATTTATTCAAAATTTCTCTGGCAAGGACCTATTTTGAAAGAGGTCTGGAGAACGGCAGCAGTTAGATGTGAGCCCCGATAAAGGCTCACTTTTCATTCATAGTCAGAGCCTAAATGTGCTCTTCTTGTACCTAAACAGATAATAAGCACTCAGCACACTCCTCCTCCTTGACACAACACATTGAGACTAATCACACATAATTGGAGAGGAGGGGCAGAGGGTTGGCCACGCTATTGTGTCCAGAGGACAAACGGTCAGTTTATGAGGCTTTGGGCTGATGTAGTCATTTCTTATACATCCATAGGGAAAAAAAACATCCTGTTTAAAAGGAGAAAGAGAATGAGTGAGAGGGACAGAAAAAAAAAAAAAAAAAGATGGCAGATTTAATACAATTAA